TCAAAGTTTGGAAAGCGAGAACTGATTTTAGACTTATAAAATTTGTCTTGTATCGACCGCCATGTTTTCCCGCGCACAAGGTGTAAAGACCCTTTGCAGCACGCATTGTGATCACGTTCTGCAGATGTTTCTCGAACTGGTAACAAGATTGTTTTTCCTTTTTCGTTTAATTATAATAACGGCCAACAAGTGGCGATCGATTGTAACATAGATCTGTGATCCAGGTTGCATTGATTTCATTTCAAATTGACATTATTTGCAGTGTTTTGGGCTTCTGGGATCAGCGGACATGCAGGTGTATGGATACCCGTACGTTGCACAGAAGGGTTAATCTGTTAATCTGTCAGCCCTGTTTATAGAGCGTTTTCACGTGAATTCATCAAATTCTTAAATCCAAAACTAAACAGCCACCAAAGTTGTTATCCTCATCAGGCATAAGAAGTACCAGCGCATTGTGAACTTCGAAGTTATGGCAGAGTGTGACATAAAGCTATGATAGCGTTTGTCAAAAACTATGTATTTATCTCGTGATTTTTAGCCATTTACGACGTTGCCGTATTTGGAAAAGTGCTATTTGTGTTATCTTATTTTATTTTTATTTACACCTTTTTTGACCTGAAATCAACATTTTTGAGCTTATACCGGTACATTGTGTGAAATTACCATTTTCAGGAGCCCATCATGGGCTCCTGCCATTTTGCTGTTTTCTAAGTGAAATCATCATCTTTGCCGTCATGCATTAACATCAAATCAACATTTTAACCTATTTAGACCTGAAATCAACATCATTGAGTTTATACGCTGCGTGAAATTGACATTTTGCTGGTTTCTAAGTGAAATCAACATCCTTGCCGTCACATGTTAACGTGAAATCAACATTTTAACCTATTTAGACCTGAAATCAACATCATTGAACTTATGCACTGCGTGAAATTGACATTTTGCTGTTTTCTAAGTGAAATCAACATCCTTGCCGTCATGCGTTAACATGAAATCAACCTTTTAACTGTTTCTGACCTGAAATTATTATTTTTTAAGGTTACACGTTGCGAGAAAAATTAACATTTTGCTGTATTTTATGTGAAATGAACATCTTTGCGGTCGCGCGCTGACGTGACAACAAATATAAGTTTTTTGCATACGTAATGTCTCAGAAATGATTCAAACTTCAGCAAAAACACATACAGAACATTGCACCTAAAAAATAATGCATGCGAAATTTGGAGCTTTTTTGACAAAGTTCACTTTTGAGCAAAATACCTAATGCCCATTTTCCACCGAGCCCTTCACATAAACGGAACCGGGCTTTGTTATAATAAACCGAGCCGATCCTTTGTTATGAATCCTTTGTTATAATAAACTGAGGTGAGACTTTGACTTATAACAAAGGCTCACTTCGGTTTATTGTAAGGATCGGCTCGGTTTATCATAACAAAGGCCCTGGCTTTGTTTATCTGAAGGGTTCGGCTCAAAAAGGGCGTTAGGTATTTTTCTCAAAAGTGAACTTTGCCAAAAACATTCCAAATTTCCCATGCAGTTTTGTTTAGGTATATTTAGCAATGTCCCATAGTTTTTCCGCTAAACTTTGCTTCATTTTCGAGATATTGCATATGCAAAAAAACCACTTGGTTTTTCTAGCGGCGTCTTTTTAAAGCGAAGCAAAAATCAACGGCAAAAATACAGGACCACGTTTTTCTATCACATTGTAGACCACATGCAAAAATTCAAGCCCTTTCCCCAATTTTTTTTTTCCACCCAAATCATCACTTAGCATGGTTTTGCATTCACCCCTTCAATTATATGATAAGTCTGAAATACAGCTCTCTCACAAGTATAATATTATGTGGGAAAAAGCAGCATTATACAAACAGGTGACAGTTTCTGATATGAATGTCTCCTCTGCCATACTGATTTACAGCAAAAAATTGTGGAAGAACTGGAAGAATTTACTAAATACATGTAGTTTACCTACTTTCAAAAAGATGCTGTTTCACATTAAGGTCCTCAAAAACTGCTTCAAAGATGAACCTTGCATTTCTAACAGCATTTTCAAGATCTTCGGTAAAAGTGACAGTACCCTGGGAATAGAAAAACAAAAGAACAGTTTATAATGATTTATTTTAAAAGGTTCAGTTTCTACTTCTAGACTGTACTGATAGAATGTTGGAGGGGTGGGGAGGGGGATGTCTACGTATATACATAAATACATATCCTTTATTAAAGTGAATGGCTGTTCTAGCGCCAACGGCACTTATTGCGGACACAGATAAAATATTGTAACAATAATATTATATAACATAAAAAAACTTAAAATTCCTAACTTACAGCATTTTTCTTAAAAGTACCCAAGATTCTAAATGTTCAGTTCCAGAAAATATCCATACTCCTCCCACAGAAGGGATTGGAATTTCCTGGGGGGTGGGGGTTCTGTAAGACCAAAA